GGGTCCCCGAGGGTCCCCAACCCCCCCCCCGCGCTGGCTCCGTGCCCCCCCCCCCCACCCCCGTTTGTCACCGTGTGTCACCCCCTCCCCTCCCCCGCACGCCGTTGTCACCTGCGGGGTGTCCCCAAACCCCGGCGACACCCGGGACCCCCCACTGAGGACACCGCATCCCGCGGGGACCCCCCCCGCCCGCCCCGCCCCGAGGGAATCTGGGGTCCCCCCGCCCCTCTCAGCCCTCCCCGAAGGGGTTTGGGGGGTCCCCTCAAGCCCCCCGGGAGGGTTTTGGGGGCTCCGCGTGTCCCCTCGGCTGCCGGCGCCACCGCCCGGCGACAGGTGCGCGGTGACATTGGAACGGCGACAGGGTGGGGACAGCGGCGCCGCGGGGGGGGCTTTGGGGACCCTCCGCCGAGTCCTGGGGGATGTCCCCAAGAGGGTCCCTGGGTGGGGACAGCCCCCCCTCCCTCCCCAGGTCACCCCAAAAGTCCCCGCGCGCTTCGTTTTGTCCTTAATTCCCCCCGGGAGGGGGTGGGGCGCGTCCTGGAGGGGAGGTGGCACCCCAGTGTCACCCCCGGGCCGTGTCACCCCCGGGTTGGGGGGACCCGGTGGATTTTGGGGTGAAATGCTCCCCGCAAAGGCCGCCGGGAGGGTTGGGGACATCCGCGGGGTCTGTCACCTCGGCTGGCCCTGCCAGTGTCACCTCGGCACCCCAAAACAAGGTGAGGGGACGCGGCCAGGGGGGGCTCGGGCAGGGCCACGTGCTGGGACATCGGGGGGTGACGTGGGGACAGGAGCCACTGCACTGAGGTGACCGTGGTGGGACAGGGACAAGTGCCAGAGCACCGAGGTGACCGTGGTGACATGGGGACAGGTGCCACTCCATCAGGGTGGCTGTGGCTGTGTGGGGACAGGAGCCACTGCACTGAGGTGGCTGTGGTGACATGGGGACAGGTGCCACATTGTCAGGGTGACTGTGGTGGCATGGGGACAGGTGCCACAGCACTGAGGTGACCATGGTGGGACAGGGACAGGAACAGGTGCCACATTGTCAGGGTGACTGTGGTGACATGGGGACAGTGCCACTCCATCGGGGTGGCTGCAGCTGTGGGGACAGGTGCTACACCACTGAGGTGATCGTGGTGACATGGGGACAAGTGCCACACCACTGAGGTGACCGTGGTGGTACAGGGACAGGTGTCACATTGTCAGGGTGACCGTGGTGGTACAGGGACAAGTGCCACAGCACCGAGGTAACCGTGGTGACATGGGGACAGGTGCCACTTCATCGGGGTGGTTGTGGCTGTGTGGGGACAGGTGCCACATTGTCAGGGTGACCGTGGTGACATGAGGACAGGTGCCACCACACTGAGGTGACCGTGGTGGTACAGGGACAGGTGCCACAGCGCCGAGGTGACCGTGGCCATGTGGGGACAGGTGCCACATTATCATGGTGCCATGAGGGGACAGGTGCCCAGAGTCACAGGGACACAGGTGCCACTCCTCAGGGTGGCCGTGCCACCTCTGAGGCGCCAGGGGCACGGCCAGAGCCCAGTGTCACCTCCCCGGCAGCGGAACCCGGTGGCCTTTGCCACAGCGATGTCCCCAAGGACAAGCAGGACACGGCTGGGGGTACGTGGCCCAGGTGATGACAGTGTCCCCTCGGTGGCAGTGTCTCCTCGGTGGCAGTGTCCCCTCGGTGGCAGTGTCCCTGTCGGTGGCCCGGGAATGGCCGCCTCGTCTCCGGTGGCTTTCCGGCCGGACAGGGCCGCTGACACCGGCACTGCCGGGACACGGCTGTCCGCAGGGGTGGTGGCGCTGCCAGGGGACACGGCTGTCCCCAGGGGTGGTGGCACTGCCAGGGGACACGGCTGTCCGCAGGGGTGGTGGCACTGCCAGGGGACACGGCTGTCCCCCGAAGGACATGGCTATCCCCAGAGGTGGCCGCGCTGTCCCCACCCCCCGAAGGGGCGGCGGGACCGTGACCCCAGCGCCAGCACCCGCGGGGTCACTCGGTGTCACCCGCGGCGCTCGGTGCGGGGGTGACATCCCGCCGCCTTTGTCCCTGCCACCTTTTGTAGGCTCCCCAAAAATTCCCGGCTCGAATTCCCTGTTTGGCATTCCCGGTTTGGCATTCCCGGTTTGGCATTCCCGGCTCCAATTCCCGGTTCGGCATTCCCGGCTCGGCGTTCCCGGCGCTCCCAGGCGGCTCCGCGCCGGCCGAGCTCAGAAGCCGCCGAACCGGTTCTGCCAGCCGGGAACCGGCTGCGACAGCGCCGCGGGCTGGCACCGCCACTGCCACCGGTACTGCCACCGGTACCGGTACCGCCACTGCCACCGGTACCGCCACTGTCACTGCCACCGGTACCGGTACCGGCACTGCCGCTGCCACCACCGGTACTGCCACTGCCACCACCAATACCGGCACTGCCACTGGTACCGGTACTGGTACCGCCACTGCCACCGGTCCCGGCACTGCCACAGCCACCGGTAGCGGCATTGCCACCAGTACCGGCACTGCCACTGCCACCGGTACCAGTACCGGTAGTGCCACCGCCACCACCGGTACCGGCACTGCCACCACCGGCTCCGGTAACGGCACTGCCACCACCGGCTCCGGTACCGGCACTGCCAGCGGCTCCATCAGGGACCGAGGCCTCGGGAGGGCACAAGGGGAACTTGGGGACAGCCGCTCCGGGAATTCCGGGCCCCTTGGTCGGGATGCGGCTCCGGGTGGGAACACCGGGAATTTTGGGATACCGGCTCCGGGAAGGCTGACCGGGAATATCGGGGTGCAGCTCCAGGTGGGAGCACCGGGAATTTCGGGTGCTGAGGAGCAGCAATGAGCGCTCCGGAGCTGCCACGGCGGGATTTGGGGTTGGATTTTTCGGGAATACCGGGATAAACCAACCCAGCTCCTTGTGGCCACCACTGCCAGCTTGGGGACATCCCGGAGCTGCCCCGTGGGGACAGGGGTGGAGAGCACCGGTGGCACCGCGGTGTCCCCAAGCTGTGCCGATGTCCCCAAGCGGTGCTGGTGTCCCCAAACGGAGCCGGTGTCCCCAAGCGGTGCCAGTGTCCCCCAATGGAGCCAGTGTCCCCAAGCAGTGCCCACGTCCCCAAGAGGTGCCAGTGTCCCCACACAGTGCCCGTGCCCCCAGTTGGTGACGGGGTCCCCAAAGAGAGCCGGTGTCCCCAAAAGGAGCCGGTGTCCCCAGTTGGTGCTGGTGTCCCCACACGGTACTACAGTGTCCCACACGGTGCCAATGCCCCACACGGTACCGGTGTCCCCACACGGTGCCAATGCCCCACACGGTACCGGTGTCCCCACACGGTACCGGTGCCCCACACGGTACCGGTGTCCCCACACGGTGCCAATGCCCCACACGGTACCGGTGTCCCCAGGCACTCCCGGTGCCCCACACGGTACCAGTGCCCCACACGGTACCGGTGTCCCCAGGCACTCCCGGTGCCCCACACGGTACCGGTGTCCCCACACGGTACCGGTGTCCCCACACGGTACCGGTGCCCCACACAGTACCGGTGCCCCACACGGTACCAGTGCCCCACACAGTACCGGTGCCCCACACGGTACCGGTGTCCCCAGGCACTCCCGGTGCCCCACACGGTACCGGTGCCCCACACGGTACCGGTGCCCCACACAGTACCGGTGCCCCACACGGTACCGGTGCCCCACACGGTACCGGTGCCCCACACCAGCCCGCAGCGGGGCAGGAAGCGCCCGTGGGGCCGCGGGTGACTCGACATTTCCTGCGCTCCGGGGCTGTTTTGGTGGCTTTGCACAAGCGACAGCGGTGACAAAACGGGGGGGCCCCCCCGAACCCCCCCCGAACCCCCCCGCCCGTTCCGGCCCCGCCGCTGCCGCGGGGCCATGGAGGGCCACGGCCACCCCCGGGGACAGGTACCGGCCTCGGGGACACCGGGACGCTCCCGGGGAGCTCGGGGTGCAGCGGGAGGTCCGGGGGGGCGGATTTTGGGGTCCCCCCCGCGTTGTGGCGGTGCCTGGGGGAGCCGTGGGAGCTCGGGATCCCGGGAAAAGGGGGGGCTGGTCCCCGTGGGAATGGGGGGACGGTCCCTGCCGAGGGGGGACACCCCGGGGTGCTGCGCTGGGGACTTGGGGGGCGGGGGGATCGGGGGGACCCACACGGGGGTCCTGGGGGATCGGGGGGGATCGGGGTGACCCACAGCGGGGTTCTGGGGGATCGGGGTGACCCACACAGGGGTCCT